GGAGAATTAATAATTACCCAGAGAAAAAAAATTGATGTGTTTGTATATTTCCCTCCAAAGAAAGCATTTTGACCTCTGATGCAGAAAATCCAAGTTATGTGCTTTTCCATGGTTCTCTTAAATGAACAACCATATAGAACATATAGAACAACCACATAGAACATATAGAACAACCATATAGAACATATACAACCATATAGAAAAATGACCCTAATGCCCCTCCCCAACTTTGTTTTCTAGTGCGATAAACTTCACTGCACTTCAAGAGGCTGTGTCTGCAATCATATGGCATTGCCTTCCTCTGTAGGATTGGCTGCAGATGACTGTAGCTATATACTACAGAGGTAGGATTTTTTTAAAAAAATGCATTTAAAAATTGCAGATTGAACCTTTGTCTAGAAAATGTCAGGGAAATGCACAACATAGTCCTTTGCACCAAAGGGAAACATTAGATAGAACAATAACCATATAATATCTAAACATCAGCATGGTAAAATTGAGAGGCATAAGAACTATTCCAACAAGTTGTAAGTGTGAATTTAAACTAAAAGTATCTTACAAATAAGAAGACATTTGGTGACAGCTTAAAAGAGTAGTGAATTGATGCCAAATGGTAGGGGATTCTAAAGCTGGGACACTGATATAAAGAAGGTCCTCTCTTTTGCAGATGAAAAATATTCTTCTCCTATTATAGTACAGATGCGGAGAAGATCCTCCTCTGATCCTCTTAATGTGGAGGCATATTGCTTTGGTAGGAGGAGCTGGTTCCATTTTTCAGTTCTCTCAGTCCCTTGCCAATTGAACTGGAAGAATATTATCTCTCCAAACATGTAGAAGTCAACCAGACCTTGACTCTAGCCAATGAATCCCTCTTCAGTAATCTTAATCATCTTAATAAGATGATCATGGGTCATAATTATATATTCAACCTGTGCACAGGGAAGAGAATGCTAGATCCACTTACATTCCTCCATTCTATTTATCCCCCAAACATTCTTTTTATCCTCTTAACATGGAGAGCAATAGTTTGTGGAAGAGAGGTGACTTCTCGCCTACCCATGGAGATTCTACCTGAGTCTTGAACCTAATGTTCCAGAGCTCTAATTCATGTAGAGATCCTCCATAGCTAGAAAAGTTCTGCAGACAGCTACCTTTTATGTGTAGAGTGTGGTGAGAAATCAACAGATTAGCAGAGCTGATGCACCCATTTGTTCATTCATCCTTCTTTGGTGTAGAGCTGACTGCAGTTTGACTGAGCAAGTGAAGAGTGCTTGAACATATTCCAGATGTGCAAAGCTAGCTTCAGGCCACCCACCAGCTCAGCAAACCTGTAGACTAGGTATGCCAGTGCCCAGCCAAGTTGATCTTGGGGAAGAAAACTTGTTCTAGTGTATATTCTACCATGGTTATCATTTTAGTTAGACCTAAAACTATTAAAAATCTGTTATTGGCTTTTAAAATTTTTAGAAGTCTTTAGAGTTGAAAATAGAAAATATGGAAAGTGATTTCTCTCTAAACCTGGGATGGGGAACTTGTGGTCTTCTAGATGTTATTGGACTGAAATTCCCATAAACCTTTGTCTTTGGTTATGCTTACAACTTCTGCAGGACTGCTTGCTACCAACACCAGTGAGAGGAAAATCACCTACCATTCCTTCTGTTTTCAACACTAGTGATTTCTAAACTAAACTCTGCTCTAAATTCTTGGGATGCATGGAATAACTGAATCTTGAGAATCTTATTGTAGCTTTTTAAGAGCATCATGTGCTTTTTTTTAAAATTTAAAAATCTTCTGAAATCGGGCAAGAACCAGGATTCCGTGCAGAAAGTCCCAGAGAGCTTCATGTAACCTAAAAGGCTAAGTTGCCCTCACTTCATTTTATAATTCTGATGAGATCATGATATGTCTGAGAAGCTAAGCAGTCTGTCTGTATAGGGAGAAGCCTTGAACTAAATTGCTCTAGCTTTTCATGAGCAGCTTCCCCAGCTTTGAAATTATAACCCTCAAACCCCAGACAGGTTAATTATTAATGTTTTTCATGCTTCTAATTTGTTTGAAAGATGAAAGTTAAAGAATTCTGTATACAGAAACATGTGGAGGGTGGTGGAATCTTTTAGGAATTCCTTTGTAGAGGTTATAGTGGTTACATATTGGACCAGGACTTTGGGAGACCAAGGTTCAAATCTTTCCTTGGCCATGGGAGACCCAAAGGGTGACCTTGGATACGTCAAACACTCTCAGCCTCAGAGGAAGGCAATGAGAATCCTCTGAAGAAATCTTGCTGAGAAAACTTGCTAAGATAGGTTCACCTTAAGGGTCACCATAATTTAGAAATGACTTGAAGGCACACAGCCGCAACAAGACTAATCCTCGTTTTATAGCTGTAGTGACAAACAGAGCTGCTCAGAAGTGAGAGGCTTGCCCAGGTCCCCGACAAAGCAAAAGCTCCATTCTTCGGTTTCTTTAGTAGTGGAACACACTCCCTTGGAGTGTAGTAGTATCTCCTTTGGAGGTTTTTAAACAAAGGCTGGATGGCCATCCGCCAGGGTGCTTTGACTGTGTTTTCCTGCATGGCAGAGGGTTGGACTGGATGGCTTTTGAGGTCTCTTTCAACTCTAGGATTCTATGATTCTGTACCATTGGCCCCTGCCCCAACCCTACCTTTATTGCACTCCAGAGTCCCGTGTCTGAATAGGCGCCTATAAGAGGCTATGGCAAGGTCCTCAACACTGTAGCTGTCCTGGGCCCTATTAACCCTCTGAGGAGACCTGTTGACAAAATTATCCTAATTGTTATGAAAGGTATTGTGTACTTTTCTGTAAATCATAAAAGATTGTTGCTGTCGTTTCTGACTTATGGCGACCCTAAGGCAAATCTATCATGGGGTTTTCTTGGCAAGATTTGTTCAGAGGAGGTTTGCCATTGCCTTCCCCTGAGGCTGAGAGCATGTGACTTGCCCAAAGTCCCATGGGTTTCATGGCTGAGCTGGGAAATGGACTCTGGTCTCCAGAGATGTAGCCATGAACTCACACCACTATGCCACTAAGTTACCTACCGTATAAATGTTTCCTACTGTAAAATACAAAAGGTATCTCCCACATAATTAGAGCAAAATAGTGTTGCAGGGCCCAGTAAAGGACTATTGATGGAGGAGGGAAACAGAATTACTATTAGTATTATCATTATTAGTACAAGTAATACCCTGTCTTTCTCCCAGGATGGAATGCAAGGCAGTTTATAATGTTGGAAAGCAAGATTTAGGTAAAATCTTCTTTTTCAAAAGTTAAAGAGAAAACCAGAGAGGAGAAATGGAATGCAGTGACCAGAATGCTGACCAAGGGCACACCATTCTGCCACATTTTGTTGCAGCTTCAAGTCTTACTTGTTTTCATCTCTCTTATTATTATCACCCAACGTCTCAATCTCCCTCAAGGAAACAGGATGGATTATTTTTCCAGGCAGTCTGATAATCTCTTTTCCCAGGTCCTGGAAGTACAATAGGTTTGGGTGCTTTTGGGGGAAGAACTGGCCATCCTGACAAATTGATCATCCTGGGCCAGAGTTGCTGCAGTTCTGACCCAACAGCAACTGTGTCAACAAAGCCTCTTTGAAAGCACTAAAGTCTCTCCTTCTTTCAGTTTGTGCAGTGTTAATGCAAATTGGTTATTACCTTTGTAATACGAAGTTGCCTGTGTTCATTATGAGCACATCTAAAATGCACCATGTGTAATTGGATTGTGGGTACTTTTCTTTTTATGAAGCATTGGTAAAATAGAGATTTTAAAACAGATTGCAGTGAGATTTGGGTGAACCTATGCTTGTAAGATGAAAAAAAAAGTTTGAGCAAAATTTAGTGTTGTATTTTGATTTCTTCTCATTTTAAAACCTCTGTGGCTTTACATTTTTCATGAAAAGCAATCCTTCCTTCTGACTAGCACTACTGTTTGCCCTGCAGAATGTTATGGTTCCCTCCGGAGGACATAATTGCATCTTCACATTTTTAAGCAAAAAGTATCTGTACACAGTTGGTATAATGTAGTGCTTATAGAGCTGGTGAGACCTGGATTCAAGTGTATGCTTACCTGTGAAGTTTCCAAGATTAGTTATCATATTTCAACCTAACCTATATAACGTGATTATGGTGAGATTAAAATTTGAACACCTTTAGGTGTTACATGAAAGGATGCCAGGGTATGACAAGGAGGAGAAAGAGGTGAGGATGTGTTTTAATTTCTAAATTGGAGATACTCCAGTTTGGGCCACCACTAGGGTTGAGATGCACCTTTTTAGCCACCCAAGGGAGAATGAATAATTTAATCCATTTTCTCCCCATTGCCAGACACCTTTGAAAACTATGCAGTCTTCAAAGAGGTATCATGGGTAGAGAAAGTCTCCAGCAACAGAGTAGGAGCAGGTTTCCCCCTAGCATGCCCCTACCCAATGTTTGGGAGGATCAGGGAGAAGTCAACAGGAATCGGAAGGCTATATCCTTCCACAATTCTTTCCTGGCTTCCTCCTGCTCACTTTCCACATGACATGAGGAGGATGGGGCATCTGAAGGCTTTATGTTTGCTGCCCGTGGTCTGTTAGCTGGTTTGTGATGGTGTGATTGACATGATCATATACTGGTTATTGGAGCACAGATTGCGATGATGCTCCTTCTCTCTTGGCTGCCTTTTCCACTCTCCTAACTTACGAGGGATAGAAAATAGATGCGTCAGGGTTGATGGGTTGATGGAGAAATGTGAGTAGTCCTCAAATCTGTTTTGGATTTGGGCAAAACAAACAAACAAACAAACAAAAAACACCCTACAAAAAGAGTTAGAGGAGGATTTTCTTCATAGAGGGTTTGGACACTTGAAAAGCCCCCTTCTTGGGTTTTTTCTCCCTTGAGCATTTGAATAGTCTTTCCAACTTATGGTGACTCTAAAGTGAATCTTTTACACGGTTTTCTAAGGCTGAGAGTATGTGACTTGCTTAGGGTCACCCATGGGTGTCCATGGCTGAGCGGGGAATTGAAACCTGGTCTCCAGGGTTGTAGTCTGAAGCTCAAACCACTGCACCATGCTGGCTCTCATTCTTTCTATACCTGGCCACTTGTGCAAAACAGGTCAGGATGAGACAGTGCCACCAGTGCCAAAGATTAATTGGCATTTTAGGGATGTAGCAGGTGTTCTCCAGCAAAGAAAGCCCATCTTTACTCTGCCACCACAGAGGAGCACCCTGGAACCCACCATGTCCCCTGAGCATATCTGTGCACTCCCTTGCATAGCCAGAAATGGGGTTGAAAGCAAGGGTTTATGTAGTGTGACCCAAAAAGTTAAATAAAGAAGTCCCTTTGTACTAGAACACTTTACAGCAAGCACACACCCCTATGACACATGCTTTCTGGAAGTTCTGAAAATGGAGATTATAATCTGCATTCCTGTGCCCTCACCTCTCACGGCTTAGTTCTCACAGGAAAGCATGGTCTCATTTTTTTATCTACTGGTATATTTAGTTCAATATGTAATGTCCCATTTTGGTCTCATTTTCTTATCTACTGGTATATTTAGTTCAATATGCAATGTCCCATACCTACTTCTAGTAATTAGAGGCAGAAGAATAAGAGTACATTCACTTACAAACAATAGGCACATTTAATAAACTAGTGGTGTAGTGATTCGAGCATTGGACTGTGACTGGAAACCAGGGTTTGGCTAAGCCATGGAAACCCACTGGATGATCTTGGGCAAGTCACACTCTCTCATCCTCAGGGGAAGGCAGTGGGAAACCTCATCTGAATAAATCTTGTCAAGAAAACCCCATGGGTCACCATAAGTCAAACAACCTGAAAACCTGTCAAATGGCAGACAGTTGTGTGATCTTGCTTCCTCCCAGAAGTGATGTCTTTCCAGATAATGGAGGCCTGTCTCAGCTCTTTTTTTTAGCTCCCTTCCACAACCTGTTGGCCTCCAGATGGTTTGAACTACAGCTCCTATCATCCCTGACCATCTGCCATACTGGGTTTTGGTGACAGAATTTGTAGTCATATACATATAGCTGGCACCAGGTTGGAGAAATTTGCATTGTGCTTGATAGTGATGTAAAGGAACTTTAGAATACTAAAGCATGTTATGCCTATTAATTTAAGAATTTTAGATAATCCTGCAACATAGGCCGGTTATCCTGTGTATCTCAAATACCAGAAAGAGTATGATTTGAGACCAGTCTGTACTACAAGCTTTGTAGGACTCTGTATTTAATTCACTAAGTGTCCAGATACAGTCAACTGAGATCTACAAATTGCAACCCAAGCGTGCTGACCCAGGTACTCTTTCAACCTCTGTGTTACACGGGCTCCTGAGAAATAATAAACCAAGAGCAATAAAACTGCCACTTCACAGTGTTATCAACATTGTTTTTTACTTGCTGGGAATTTGTCAGTTCCTGCAATCATCAGTTTGGGGATAATCTATTACTGTTTGAAGCTATTGTATTTGCTTTCCCTGTCAACATACAGTGGGCCTATGGTATCTGCTGTGGTTTGGTTCCAGGATTCCACATGGATACCAAAATCCGTGGATGGTTAAATCTCATTGTATACAATGCCAAAGTTAAATAGTGTCCCTTATATAAAATGGAAAGGACAAGGTTTGTTTTGTTGGAATATGTGTGTGAGAGTGTACAATATTTTCAAATATAGTTTCTCTGAAGATGCCAGCCACAAATGCTGGCGAAACGTCAGAAAGGAATTCTTCTAGAATATGGCCACACAGCCCGGAAAAACCCACAAAAAACTATAATATTTTCAAACTGTGGATGGTTGAATCCATGGATAAAGACTCTATGGATATGGAAGGCCGACTGTAAAATTTGCCTGTTTTCATGGGACAAGGGAGACACTAGGTTCCCATTTTTAAAGACTACATAAGAATAAGACCACATAAGAATAATAAAATCAGAGATCCACTTTAAAAAGAACAACCTAAAGCCACATTTTTGATGAGAAGATTAGTAGCCATGCATATTAAAGTGGCTCTAAAGGAAGATATTCCCTTAATTGAAGTCAAAAATGGTAGATTGGATTTCCATTGGATCAACACCTTAACAGACTTTGAAAGCTAATAGTATTATGTTAAGCCTTAGTCCTCCTGGTCTGTTACAGTTTAAGCAATTCAGTTTGACAATAAAGGGGCTCTTAATCTGATAAAATCGAAAAAATTGGCAGACATTTTTAACTGAGTGCGCCTGTACTGTAAAATAAGATTGTAGGGCATGAAGAGTTACAAATGTAGCCCCTAAAATGAGAAAGAATATATATTTTAAACCCTTTATCTTTATGCTCCAGTAAAACTATCCTGCCTCACTGTTCCTTAATCATCTGAAAAGCTTTATTAATGGGATGAAAAGATGCTCTTATTTCTTCATTTTTCTCACAGATATACAGTGGGCTCTTGGTATCAATTGGGGTTTGTTCCAAGACCCCCATGGATACCAAAATCTGAATCCTCACGTCCCCTTATATACAATGATATAGTAAAATGATTTCCCTTATATATAATGGCAAAATCAAGGTTGCCTTTTTGAATATATTTTAATTAATATTTTCAAGCCATAGATGGTTGAATCTGTGGATGCAGAATCCATGGATATGAAGGGCTGACTGTATATATTTTAAATATAGGTACTGTATGAGTTATTTCTGGATCTTCAACTTGGCTTCTTTTTTAATCTTGTAGTTGCCTGAAAAGAATGTGTGTGGGAGATAATAATAATAATAATAATAATAATAATAATAATAATAATAATAATAATAATAAATTTATTTACTAATAGCTTAGCTAATAGACATTTTGCACTAGGGTATAACAAATCTTGGGAACTATTATCATCATGGCAGCAAAAAATAATAATAGGACCATTGTCTCATAAGAGAGCATGGTATAGTGGTTTGAGTGGCGAGCTTGAAGCATCATGATATAGTGAAGCATGATATAGTGAAGCTTGAAGCATCATGATATAGTGGTTTGAGTGTTGAATCCATCGAATCCTGGCCCAGCCATGGAAACCAACAGCCTAAGTGGAAGGCAGTAGCAAACTTCTTCTGAACCAATCTTGCTTGGCCATAGTTGGTTCTGTGTCAGAGACATACAACAGTGGCTTGTAAGACCCAGCCACACATCGCTGAGTTTTGGTGCTTTCTACCACCGTCAAAGGCAGGTTTTAGGAGGATGCAGGAGAAAGCCTTTTTCTCAGTAGTTGTCCCCAGTCTGTGGAACTCCTTCCCATGGGAGGCTAGGCTGGTCCTTTCGCTGTTCTTTCTGCCAGATGGCAAAATCCTTTTTATTTATTTTATTTAGACAGATCTTTGGCTGTTAATTGGTTATGGCAAAAGGCTCTTTTAATAGGGTACGTGTGTATATGTGCCTTCAAGTCACCTGTCCACATATGACCACCCCATGAATTTCATAGTGTTTTCTTAGGCAAGGAATCTTCAGAGGTGGTTTTGCCAATTCCTTCCTCTGAAATACAGCCTACAGTACCTGGTATTCATTAACGGTCTCCCATCCAATTGCTAACGAGCGCTGGTCTTGCTTGGCTTCCAAAATCAGATGAGATCTGGTGCCTTTAGGTTACGCTGTATATGTTCTTTACTGTGTTTAAATGTGTTTTACGTGGTTTTGAATTACATAGTAAAGAAAGATATAAGGGAACCCAGCAGCACCTTTGAGATTAACTGGGAAGGAAAAAAATTATTTTTTCATGAATATAGTCTTATATAGCTTTCATGAATATAGTCCATCCATTGCATTAAGATTAAGTAAAGCCTTGCATCTGATGCATCTGATGAAGTGAACTGTGTCCACAAAAGCTTATGCTAGAAATGTCTTCTTCCCAGTTAATCTGAAGGATGCTACTGGATTCCTTTATATGTTTTTATGCTAAAAAAGACTAAGGGGCACTGATGGAGCGGCACACTGTAGCCCTGATCAGGCTGTTTCCCGATGCAAAAATAAGCACCAGAATGCTGCTCCTTTTTGCAACAGGAAAAAGGTGCCTTTGCTGTGGTGGTGGTGGTTTCCCCCCAGCTCTGGTGGCAAGCAGCATGTAGTTGCTGCAGTGCTGCCCACTGTCTGGTTGGGTGGATGGTGTGACACCAGCCTGGGGACGGAGTCGGGACATGCGTTGACTAAACACCACGCTACTATGCCGCCCCCAATCCAGCATATCGTGCCAGTCTGTATAGCCCCAGAAGTAACTATCTTTTTGAATACTGTTTTAAATTAACGTTTTTAATATATGTGCTCAAGGACTGCATGAGGACGACACAGGTTTGTTTTCTATTTCCCCAGAGGGTAGGAACAGCTCTAATGGTTTTAAGTTACATGAAGATAGATTTTGATGGAACATTAGAAGGAACCTCTTGATAGTAAGAGAGGTTCAGCAGTGGAGGTTCTCCTGGTTTCCTCAGGAGATGGCGGAGTCTGTTTCTCTGGACATCTTTAAAAAGAGTGGACAGCTACCTGCTGGTGATGCTTTAGCTGGAGATCCTGTGCTGATCAGGGACCTGGACACTATGGCCCATGAAGCCCCTTCAGACTATTTTGATTCTGTGCTATCTATCTGTCTATCTTTGTCTTTTAGCTGTATATCAGAGAGGAGACAGTTTATGAAGTCTTTGGAGGAGTTCTTCCTCTGAATATAAGTTGCTAGTGACATGGGCAAGAAAAGGTGATACTGTGCTCTACTCCTGCTTTTGGTCTTCCTGTAGGTACCTGGGGACTTGCTACATTATACAGTTTATAGCACTATGCAACCATAGCGACATTCTGTGGAATCCTGGAGTTTGTGGTTTTGTGAAACACTAGAGCTTTCTGGCTGAGAATTTGAAATACTTCACAAAACTGATCCCATAGGATGCAGACAGGGCAGATGAAATGGAATGGTATTGCTATAATTGTGTAGTGTGAAAGCACACCTGTTTAGCCAGAACATCGCACTGGATAAGCTGTTAATCTCATCCAATGGGGATCTTCTTGAGATGGTAAAGTGGGATTATGTAGATGTTATGAGAGATCCAGACATAGAA